ACTATATCATAGTAGAAGCAGGTGTTGTTAATACAAAGAAATAATTGGATACTATCCCTGCCTCTTCCAAGGCTAAGCTAAGATAAGAAACAAAAGAATATTGTGAGTACAGTTCTATAACACATACACAGCTTTTACATGCACGTCTTCATATTTTCATTAGCTCATTCTGGGTATAATACAAAAGCAATTAATCAAAATGGAATACAAGAAACAACATGGAGTGAGGGGAAACAAAATGACAGACCAAAAAGACATACATTTCCCTTCAGTTACAACCTACTACAGTTTTTTATGCTTGTATTAACCTCAACCATGTGAGTGCTTTTACCTTTCAACCTTAATAAAGTGGTATGCTGCACTTAGAGGGCGCTTCTTCTCCTTCTCTCACCCTACAGAGTCTGCTACAGTACTTGTTAGAAGCATTGCCCTTAGTGCCATACGGGCCAACCCAAGTTCATCCACAACACCACCAGCACCCCACACCAGGATAGCCCAGGACTTTGTACAGTTTTGCGCTGATCATTCCCTTCATTTCTCCCTACTTGGGCTGTAGAGCCTAAGGGGAAGCTGATCTTCACCTGTGCCCACTTCAAGATAAGTTGGAATTTGGCCAGATAACACCTCACAGGGTTAGTGGGAATGTACATCATGAAACATCATCTATATATCTTCTTCTCTTTGCTTACTGTACAATTAATTATATTTAAACTTCCAATACAGGTTCTGATTGGTGACTGTGAAAAATTAATTAGCCCTGACCTTTTTTTTTCAAATTTCTATCTTTTTATTTGAGTTTTAAAGCAAACAAAGAACAGAGGCATAAAGTGTGTAGTTCTCCTATGGGAGAAAAATATCCACATCCACATCTTTTGAGTAAACATAGACTGTGTTAATTATAGTCTTGTCAGAGCCAGGTAGGATCAGGTGCTCGAAAGTCTGACAGACCCCCAAAGGGCTATACCAACCGGTCAAGAAAGAACTAGGTGTCCCTTCATAATAAAAGTAGGCTCGGTGTCCAAATCACATGTATAATGAGTGGGTGCATTGTCCCTGAACCATTAAATGTATTACTGAGATCTTGGATTGATCAAACAACTCTTCACCATTCAAACCACATTAAAGTTCAAGTAGAAAGAGTAGTAGTAGAAAAGACCTGAGAAGAGAGTAAAGCAAGAAAGAGTTACTAGAGTTGGTAGGGAAGGCATTCCAGAGGTCTTGTTAAACCTGCTGATATTTATCTACTCTACGGATCCCATGTCTTCTCAGATTTGGCTTGATCATTTTAGAGGGTACACGTGAACTTCTCATTGACCATCATCCAATTCAATTTTTGTCTGACATAATCAAGTATCACCACAGACTGCTTCAAAAATCTCACAATAGCAATTCTGGTCAGCACTGGCAATGTTTCCATGTGAAAAACATCAGAATGTCTGTGGTGGGTGTGCCATGTAAGCAGTAGTGTATTTAGATTTTGTGCTGCCCTAGACAACACAAAAATTCCCCCCGCCCCCCATTGATGAACAACACCCCAACCCCTCTCCTACCCGAGAGAGCCTTCCACTACCACCGCCCCCCATACAATGACAACCCCTCCAACCCTAACAAAAGATAAGACACCCACCTTCACAGTTCTGGACATCCCTGGGAACAAGAGTTAGGCTCTGCATAGACCATCAAGCAGCCTGCAGCCTCTGTCAGATCCCACTTGGTCCCCGTGCTGTGTGTGTCCCTTCTTCCTTTCCTTCTTTCGGGGGATGGTACTGCCCCCCTGAAAAATGCCACTTCCCCCCTGAAAAATACTGCCCTAGGCAAATGCCTTGTGGTAAATACACCCCTGCATGTATGGCATCACAAACAGGTGTTGGATTGGACTGGTGTACTATAGCAATTTTTGGATACAAATTGCTGGGCAGGTAGGCTGTGTTCCTTGGTTGAATTTCAAGAATTACTTGAATGTGTTTTTAAACATCTTTTTTAACTTTATAAACCCTTCAGTATTATGGACAAAACACAAGCTCTCTCTCGCTGTCATCATATCCAAACAAAATGTTGAACAATGTAATACAATATCAAACTTTATGCTTTTTGTATCCCATTGAGATTGCTTACTTGTACATTTATTGATTGTTATCTGGCTGCTTGGCTGACTCTGTGGAATTCTGAGAGTGTCCTGACCTTAAAAACTTTTTCTTTCTATCTTCATTTCTTTTTATAATTTAGAAATGTTACAAAGCGGGTTGACACCAGTCAGTGTATTTTATTTTATTAATTAGGTGTATCTTAATCTATGCACAATACTTAGAGGACCATATGTTCAGTTATGAATTATTTATCACGTTGGAAACTATGTTTTTCAGGATAGAGGAATTTAAAAAGGTTTGTGAAACTCAGGCATCGTTAAAAACTACAAAACAGTCACCTAGGACAGCTTCATCTTGTCAGACCACCAAGGAACCCTCAGTAAGCTATGATGATGTATTATATTGCAGCTTACTAATTCTTGGGTTGGGTTGAGACAAACCATTTACCACTGACAGGGGTGCTTAAAATGGTCAGATTTTATTTATTTATGTAAAACTTTTATTCCAAAAAGTAAAAAAAAAAAAACTGTTATTGTAACTGTTTAACCACTTGCCGTCCGGCCGCTGTATATAAACGGCCAGACGGTGGCAGTCCAGGGGCGAGTTGCCATTCATAAACGGCACCCGCCATTTTGGACTGTGCACGCTCCCTGGGACCGCGCAGCACCGCGATCCAGTGCCCGCTGTGCCCTCCGGACACAGAGGAACACCGATCATCGTACGGGACCTCTGTGAGAGGTCCCGATCATGTGGTCACTGATTGGCCAATCAGTGATCACATGTAGAGTAGTAAGCAAGATGTCACTTCTGACATCATTGCTTACTACGTGTGAAATCGGTGAATGATTACAGAGGTCACATGGTACAAGGCTATTCACAACAGCCTTGTACCATGTAACAAGCTGTGACCAATCACAGCTCACACAGTAGTTCTCAATGGCTGCAAGAATGCAGCCAGAGAGGAGAAATTATTGCTTTTACAGCCTTTATGGGTGTAAAAGCAATCAGTGTAAAAAAAAAAAAGAAAATCTTCATCACCTTCATCTTCATCACCCCCACAAGTAGTACAGTGTCACCATGGTGACACTGTACTGCTAGGGTAATAGTATGTAGAAAAAAACCCCCATAAATAATAATATAAAAAAAATAAAAAATGTAAAATTTTTTTTTAAAAATTAGAATTTTTGGTTATAAAAACTAATTTGGGTTATTTTTTTTTAACTAAAAAGATAACTGAATAAATTTTGGCCACGATTTATGATGAAATATTATTTATTTGCAACATTTTATAAGAAAAACACTTTTTTTCAAAAGTTTTGGACTTTTTCATTTATATAGCAAAAAAAATAAAAATCCCAGCGGTAAATAAATACCAGCAAAATAAAGCTTTATCTGTCTCAAAAAAAATGCTACAAAATTCATATGGGTACAGTGTTGCATGACCGTGCAATTGTCATTCAAAGTGTGATAGCGCTGAAAGCTGAAAATTGGCCTGGATAGGAAGGGGGTGAAAGTGTCCGGACTGGAAGTGGTTAAAAAGTGATATATTTTTGGCTTTGATTTTTTTTAGTCAAGTCCATCTAAACCTACTAGTGTATGTAACATTGCGCTCTCTACAGGTTGACAATACTGTTGTGCAAAGGTGTCTCTGATGCCCCTCCACCCAGAATGGAGACACCCTAAGGCTAACTATAGAGTGATTTTTTTGTTGATCATCCAGTAGGCTGATTGAAGAAAGACAAATAGTTTCCCCCATCCACACAAGTCATATGGATGGAGGAATTCTCCCCTTTTGTGCTATTGTATTCTAATAGCATTGACTCCCCTGCTGTCAGAATACACCGATCAGTGCTAAAGCCACTGATCAAATGAACATTTTCCAACATCCCATTCAACAAATGTCGATCATTTATCAAGTAGTAACGGCCATAGAAGACAGGAATTTGGCCAATCCCTGCTTAGCTGGCTGAATTTTGATCCTTCAATAGCCAGCCTAACACAGGAAGTGTGTTACTGGCTGACTTACCAGGTGAAAATAAAGGAAACATACATACTTAAAAAAAAAAGAAAACTAATGCAACTACCACATTTAAAGCGGGGAAGGGTGCGCGTGCTGCTTGCATGCGCGCCCTATACCAGGAAATGCAAAATCACACATATATATTTATATATATATATATATATATATATATATATATATATATGATTTTGTGCACCCCTGCCGCCCTGTAGCAGTATATTTGCTATAGTGTAGTGCGGTGGGAAAGCGGTTAAACTATGCAGAGGGAACCCAGGGTGTCAACTGCAATTATAAACTGTCATCTCTGTTGCAATAACTGAATTGCTCTACACCTCTGAAATCTGTTACCTGTGCCTGCAGATGCTGTATAACTAATAGGGTAATTTTCTAAAAATATTCACATATTACTATGAAACAACATTCTGATATCTGGAGAACATTATTTAAGGCTAGTTGTGCATTGCAAAGCAGGTTTTTGCAGGTTATTTCTAGTTCAGATGAAAGTGGAGAGGTCACATTTGTTTGTGTCGTTCCCTTTGCCAACACCTGTTCATCTTGTATAATTAGCTCTTGTTGAGTAAGCCGGCTGTATCTTCACTAAATCCATGGTGGTCTATTCATATTTAATGGTTGATGCTCAGCTGTGTCTTGCATATTCTTTTGTCCTTTTTTTTTACCATATATATTAAAATGAAAAATCTGGAACAAGGCGCATATGGGATCTTAAAGCTTCTCCTACACTTTTGGTATCGTGGGTCATACAATAAATTCATGAACAGAACAAAGCAATCTTCTGCACTCAGGTTTGGGGTAAATGTTGGAGATGGATGGTCTCTACTTCTAATTTTCCATGGAAGGATCACCAATCACAGAGTAACCACTATGCCTTGCAGCCAGGGGCGGACTGACAACTCATGGGGCCCCTGGGCAATAGGGGATCATGGGGTCCCTGTGTCCTTGCCCAAACTCAAAAAGCCTATGAAAAAGGTACCAGGGGTATCTCATGGGGCCCCCTACTGACCCTGGGCCCTCGGGCAGTGCCCGAGTTTCCAAATGGTCAGTCCGCCCCTGCTTGCAGCCCTATTTGGGTAGGGTGATCTAGAAATGCTGAGGACCTGACAGCTTGTGACGCCTTATCGCCGCCCAGACCACGAGGAGGTCTGGCGGCCATTTTACTTTAGGTCTGTATCACCTTTTTTATCTTCTGTTCTCTGGCTTTTGCCAGTGTTGTTACTGACCTGCTTTATATTTGTCTACTATAAATAAAGTTTGAAATACTACACTATGGGTATTCTCCCATCTTTTGCCCCATACTGAGGGGTTACCAGACCAGCATACACAGCCTTCCCTGCATACTATATCCAGAGGAGGGAGCCTTCACCCAGATTGTTTACCCTGATCTTGAGGAGGTCCTCTGAGTCCAGCAGACCATCGCTTGATGACACCCCTTCTTGAGGGAAACGACGCCTGCTGATCTTAATACATACATGTGCATTTCCTATGCGCGGTCGGTGAGTGCGCATTTCTGTCATTTCTACTGGATCTTTCACAGCTGTGTTACTACCTTGTTGTCACTATATCAATTGAAATATTGCATGAACGTTTTTGAACGAACTGTTGGTTTGACATTTTAGCGCAGCACTTTACATTTATTATTTAGACGTGAGGCGGTTGTGATCTCCTCTAGTGCTTTAGCTGCTTATTTATATTTAAGGAGCGCTCGCTTTATTATATATATTTTAGATCTAGAAATGCTGCATAGAAAAACAAAAGGGGGCGCGCCAGCCTAGTACATTATCCATAGTACTCAGGGGCGGACTGACCATTTGGAAACTCGGGCATTGCCCGAGGGCCCGAGGTCAGTAGGGGGCCCCATGAGATGCCCCTGGTACCTTTTTCATAGGCTTTTTTGAGTTTGGGCAAGGACACAGGGGCCCTATGATCCCCTATTGCCCAGGGGCCCCATGAGTTGTCAGTCCGCTCCTGATAGTACTATTTATTAAAAAGAATGAAGTAAGTAATTATACTCAAAACAGCATAAAAAGCTCATCACATGTGCCAGGAGGACTGAGACCGGAGCTTCTAACTAAGCCCCAGATTGACCAAGATGGCATCAGAAACAAACAGCAGATGGTCTGCAGAGCTCTGGTTAGGAGAGGACACCCTCAAAACCCATCAGTGTCTGCTTTTTGTTTCTGATGCCATCTTGGTCAATCTGGGGCTTAGTTAGATGCTCCATTAGAATCAATAACTTGATTCTTTTTAAATAAATGGTACTTTGAATACAGCACTAGGCTGGTGCACCCCCATGTTTTTTTTATAAATTCATACCTGGAACTACCATCAGTTGTGATAAACATGCAGTGTGTGTTTAAAGCCCATTGCTGGGCAAGTGGAAAAATATCCTGCGCCTGCACTGCAAGGGTTAATTGGTGCAGTGGAACAAGATTTACTTACCTGATCCTTCGCTTCTCCCCCCTCCCCGGCATCTCTCTCACCTCACGTTCCACTAGTCTAAGGTTCTGATATATTTAAAACCAAAGCAGGGTCCACTGGACATGGTGACACCAAGGGACAGTCCACCAGTCATCAGGTTTAATACATATCGAATTGCATTATTTTGCAAAAAAAATAATGCATTTTATGGCTATAAATTGCCACTTCTTCAGTTCTTGGATGATACACTGATGTTCAGTGGCATCCTGTTGATATCCCACAGACTCCCTCGGGAGAAGTCAGAAAAGGGAAGCTTCAGCCGTTCTGACCCCCAAAGGGCCTTTTGACCTCCTCCTTCTTATCTAGTATACCACCCATCTGGAAACCTGCTCAAGGAACATAAACTGGGACCCCTGAGGTATTGACAGTGATCTATTCTATCCTGTACAGAGACCTACATATGCAAGTCCTTTTTCCATTTATTTCTTTCCCTTTCTTTCACTTGTAGCACTCAATCCCATAGAAGCCCACAATTTAAGGTCCTTAGGGTCTTTTCCTGTAATTGCCCCACAGCCTGGCCCACAGTCACAGTCATTCTTTTGGCTCAATGGACAAGCTAGGGGTATGCTTTTCTGAAGTTTTATTGTAGAACTTGATCTTGGATATGTTCATCGTAACTGTGGGATACTCCAATATCTTTTAGCGCAACTTGGTGAAGCTAAACATTCTCCTAAAGATCTGAGTAAAGTCCTTGCACAAGCAGTTAGTGGACTGAGCTATTCAGGACATCAGACACAATGTCCTCTTTGAAGAAGGATGACTCTAGTACCAGAGAGGTGGCAGCACACACAGTCCTAAGGATCTCTCACACTGGTCTGTACTCACTAATGTCCTTGGATAATTGGTTGCCTCCTGCCAATATCTTCCAGACAGCTTTCCAGTGATACCAGACCAGATCCCCAGACGAAAACTCCTTCAATCAGCTCCAGCAACTTTCAATAGAATAGGTCACCCAGCTAGCCTTGCTGGGACCTCGTTCAAAAGTAGACACATGCCTAGGGGACAAACAGCCCCCCCCACCCTCCAGGCTGTGACCTCCTCCTAGGACAAGACACCTCTGTTCCTAGTCTCGGTGTATTTATACACACTCCCAGCCACTCTCATAGATATTCAGCTGTTGATTTGACGTTCCCTTCCTGAACCTTTCCAGTAGACAAGGGGAAGCAGTCAATCCTGCACTCAGTGAAATACAGAACAGGCGAAAATAATCACAGACAGCTACACCGATTACAATTAGCCAAGAATTAAATTCACCTAACCCAGCACCTATCTAGGAGACACTATTTTCTGAGACATTAAAGCGGAGTTCTATCCACCACTTTAACCCCTTCCCGCCGGTGCCTCCTGGCCCTTTAAGAGTTTCAGAAGCCGGGAGGGGCGGGGCAGGGTTTAGGGATCATGTGACTGCTGTGACTCACGGCAGGCACATGATCGGGAAAGGTCCCGATCGAAAGCGCAGACCGGGACCTTTCCATGAGTAGCAGACATGTGTGCTGGGAGCATGCAGGGTGCGCGCTCTCAGCACATATGTTTTTTGTTAATTGTCTAGGCCCAGACGCCAGGAGGCTGCACATTTGTGTGCGGCCGGCGTGAAGAGGTTAAAGACTGATCCCCCACTTCCCATTAAGGATTGGCACCTTTGAGGGGGCGGGTAAATTGACAGGTACTGGGGCCAGTGGTGGGCAACCTTTTTTTTCAACTGAGCCAAATCTCGCCAAAACCACGATTGAAATTTATTTTGAGAGCCACATTTTTAAAACTGAAAATACATCCCCCATATAGTAATTCATCCCCCATAGTAATTCATCCGCCATAGTAATTCATCCCCCCTATAGTAATTCATCCCCCTAGTAATTCATCCCCCATATAGTATTTCATCCCCCATATAGTAATTCATCCCCCATAGTAATTCATCCCCCATATAGTAATTCATCCCCCATATAGTAATTCATCCCCCCTATAGTAATTCATTCCCCATATTAATTCATCCCCCATATTAAGTCCCCAAGTCCCCCCTGTGTCAATTCACTTACCTTTGCTCCGCGCGTTCCTCTCGCCGTTTTCCCGCGCCATTCCGGTCTTCAGGGCGGACTGTGAAAGGAGAGGAGTTCGTCACGCTGCCCTGCCTACATCCTGACAGCCAATGTTTGCCACGCTCCGCGGGCCGGATTAAAAGGTCCGTAGTTTGCCCATTGCTGGGCTAGCTGCAGAGTCCTGACTTTTGGGGCGGCCGCCCGAGAGCAGGGAGGGGAGCGGGCGCCCGGCACACAGAAGAGCCGCATTAGAGTGTGTAAAGAGCCGCATGTGGCTCACACGCCGCGGCTTGCCGACCACTGGCCTAGGCGATCGGAAGATGAATTTGTCCTTCTACCCTCCCTCCCCGTAGTCTTGTGGGATACGTGACAGGTCCCAGAAGACGACGGGGCCATTCAGGAAGCACAGCACTTCTCGCGCATGTGCAGTGGGCACCCGGCTGTGAAGCCACAAGCTGTCACAGTGCCCACACTGAAGATGCCGGCGCCTGGAATAGAGGACAGGGGCACCGCAGGATCGTGGGACAGTTGAGTGGCTGTTTTTTTTTAAAAGTCAGCAGCTACAGTTTTTGCAGCTGCTGACTTTTATTTTTTTTTACAGTGTAACTGGTACTCCGCTTTAACTAGATTATAGTTACTGACCTTCACTATAGGGGCTCTCATGCCTTTTATTTTTTTTCAGTAGACACCTCAAGTGCTCCCATGGGTCTCAAATCTGCAGTTGCACTCCTCGAACCTTCATCATTATTATTATTATTATACAGTATTTATAAAGCGCCAATAGTTCGCTGAGCGCTGTACATTACAAAGGGGGACAGAGCATGTGACAGAACAATACCAATACAATGCAAAACATGAGGGGATCGAGGGCCCTGCTCTTTCGAGCTTACAATCTAGGAGGGAGGGGATGGTGGCACAGGAGGAGATAGCTGTGGGGGATGGAGTGGTAAGAAGAGTGGAGGAGGTTGGCAAGTTAGCAGGGGGTGGGGTAGGCTTCCCTGAAGAGATGGGTTTTCAGGGTGCGCCTAAAGGAGAGGAGAGTAGGTGATAATCTGATGGGTTGGGGCAGGGAGTTCCAGAGGATGGGTGACACCCTGGAAAAGTCCTGGAGACGGGCATGGGAGGAGGAGACCAGGGAACTAGAGAGAAGGAGGTCTTGTGAGGAGCGGAGTGTGCGTGTTGGGTGGTACTTGGATATTAGGTCAGTGATGTAGTTCGGGGCAGTATGGTGGACAGCTTTGTACGTCAGTGTTAGGATTTTGAATTTGATCCGTTGCCAGTGGAGGGATTGGCAGAGGGGGGTGGTGGAGGTGGAGCGGTTGGAAAGGTGAATGAGTCTGGCAGCCGTATTCAGGATCATGGACCTCCACACTTTTATTTCGCTTTTTGGCGATGCAACTGTGCTTTATACTATTTAAGAAGGATTTTTATTTTTAAATTTTACA